TGACCCCAGCACTCTTTCCTGCCTATGCAGGGGGTCGGACTCGATCTATTGAGGTCCCTTCGGGCCCTGACATCTATGTATCTATGATCTGCCTGCCTGGCGGTGCATGCCTCCGATCTGCCTGCCTGGTGACAAGAGCCGGGTGCTGCTGCCTGGGGCCAGTGACAGCACCAATCTTCCCAGCACTGGGTGCAGGCTGTGCCCAGCGCCTGTTTGTCATGTGGCGGCCAGATCGGGGGCCCGCACCCCTGGGAGGACTCTGGCACAGCCCCTGCAGCCCTCCCAGGGGTGCGGACAAGCCCACCAATCTGCCTGCTGGATGACAGGAGGTGGGTGCTGCCAGCTGGGACTGGCGCGGAAGCCAGTAAGCCTGGCTTTGAAACTCAAAAGGTTTGGAAACTTTCAGAACGTTTTGAGTTCCCTTGTTTTGTTTCAAAGCTATTTCAAAGGCTTTAGTTTTGTTTAGATTTTTCTGTTTTGAGCTTGAAACATCAGGCGAAATTTCGCACAGCCCTAGTAATTATCCATATTATTTTAAAGTCAGGCAGGGTAGGGTGGCACTTGAAAGACTAGCTGGTTCAGAGAGGCATAAGCTTTCATAGGCAACAGCCTGCTTTGAAGTAGACAGTAGCCTACAAAAGCTTATGCCTCTGTGAACCACCTTGTCTCTAAGGTGCCACCGTGCCAAACAGGAAGTATTAGGCACAGCCAGAGATTTTGTTTTTGCCATTATAGATTTAAAAGTTTTTCTGCCTTTTTTTTTTTTAACTGGCGAACTAAACTTTTTAGTTGCATGTAGTGCATAATACAAATATAACCCTTCTGCCAGGCCTTGTACAGCAGTAGCCCAGGTTCAGATTTAAGGGTTTAACATTAAAATGTGGCTCAAGTCCCTATCCAGAAACCTGGGGAAAAAAAATTAACTGGATGTTCTACAGTGAGCAAACTTCCCCACTCAAAAACAACGTTCATCTGAAACAGGGTTTATTACAGCGAGGGAAAATCAATTAAATACACAACCTCAGAGAAGACTTTGACCATTAAACATTAGTTGCTAATCTCAGTCGCTAGGAAACCAGTCATAGGGAGCCATCACCTTGACCAGTCTTTTTGGGGATGGAGTCTCTCCCAGGGCTGCCATCTGGAGTTGCTACCACCTACACCAGTGTTTTCCCAACCTGTGTGTCACTGCATTTTGGGCTGGAGCCAAACCACTTGCTGCTGCTGTGGGCAGCCAGGCAGGTGGGGGTGTGTGGCTCTAGCCAGTAATTTAAACGCTGCACCACCTGCTTTCTGCTGCTCCACGGCGTTCCACCCTTCGCTACCCCCTACTGCCTGGTCTGTGGTGTTCAGCTGCCCACCACCCAATCCACTCCCTCCTCCCTTACCCCTCCAGGCTGCGGCTATGCCCTGCTGCTGCTTGCCCCTTTCTGCCCAGAGTGAGTCGTGCCTGCGTCGGTGCTGGGAATGGGGCCTCTGCCTGCCGCCACTTGCCAGCCAGGGCGGCGGGGGGTGCAGGATGTGCTGATGTGGCACACTCTGCCTGCCACCACTTGCCAGCCAGGGTGGCGGGGGGTGCAGGATGTGCTGATGTGGCACTGGCACTGCTCGCTGATGCAGGCGTGGCTTAGTCCGGGTGGAAGGGGGTAAGTGGTAGCAAGGCATAGCCCACACTCCCAGTGTTGCTGTGCCTGCATCAGTTCTGGGAGCGGGGGCTTTGCCCTGTTGCTGCTTGCCCAGCTGGTGCGGGGAGCTGCAGGATGCAGGTGCAACAGTGCTGGGAGCAGGGGCTCTGCCCTGCTACTGCTTGCCCCCTTCTGCCCGGAGCAGGCCATGCCCACGTCATACTCCCCCTGTCCTGGCTGAGCAAGCAGCAGCAGGGTAGAGCCCCCACTCCCAGTGCTGCTGTGCCTGCGTCCCATGCCTCTTCCATCCCCCCTTCCCCAACCCCCACAGACTTACCAGCTGGAGTCAGCTGCCTGTTTAGTTTATGGCCAGATCTCCGAAGCAGCATCAAATCTTTCTGATCTGATTCGGCCGAATCGAATCGGGAGAGTGATTCGAATCTCCAGATTGAATCACTGTCCTCTGAATTGGCCAAATGTGAAGCGAATACTTGCTGCTTTGTGCAGGCCTAATGAATAGCCCCAAAACCTCTGAACTTATCCTCAGTAGTATGATGCATGTAAGGAGGAAACTCACAGTTATCATAATAGAACATAACCATAGCTAAACCTACATAATAAGCAGAGTTATGTCAAGAAAGTGCAAAGCACAACAGTACACACAACTTATAATTGGTTTAACCATCCCCAGAATCCTCCTATTTTGTGGTTGTATTGAAACATTAATTAAAACTGGCAGTTTTTAGCCCCTTTTTATGGACTGTTTGTAAATATGTGGCTAGTTAGCAACCTTTATTTGCATATACCAGTGGTTCTTAACCAGGGTACTGCAAGACCTCTTCAACCGTGCCACAACGACAGTTAGGTAACACTGCCCTATGCACAAGATTGTGGCATGTGCGCATTCCACCTGCATTGGGGTTCTTGAATGGTAACGGATTGGGGAATTGTCTCAGACTAACCCTTTCTGGCCTGGTCTCTCCTTCTTGCCCCCCTCCCTACCATGATCGTTCTGGAAACAGAGGCATGTGGGACAGTTCCACCCACACACTATTTCTGGGTG